AGTCCCAAAAAACATGACTGTTAGGTTAATTGGTCTGTCTAAATTGCCCCTAGGTGTGTGTGTGTGTGCGCATGGTTGTGTGTCTGTGTTGCCCTGCGACAGACTGGCGACCTGTCCAGGATGTACCCCGCCTCTCGCCCGGAACGTTAGCTGGAGAGGCACCAGCACCCCTCCCGACCCCACTGAGGGACAAGGGTGTTCAGAAAATGGATGGATGGATGGATGAAAACAAAAAATAATCCACAGAAAACAAAAAAATAATCCACAGAATACAAAAAAATTATCCACAGAAAACAAAAAATATCCGGATCATATTGGTGATAAAATATGATCAAGATATTAGCAGGAAATCTCCATGTGAAGACCAACCAAACTAAACAATGCTTTGCTTTCGTGTCTATTTCTATACTGAGCTTCAACAGAACAACTGAATTAAATGTGAAAGAGTCAGTAGAAAGCGTCAGATATTCAGATAAAACCAGATGTTTACATACACTGAATAAAAAGACACAGTTTCGTCTCATTGTCTGTGGTTGAATCAGGACAAACGTCTCTTGTTTTCAGAGACGTTTGAAATAGTCCTAAATTATTTCTATTTGCTAAATGCATGAAAAACTTATTGAGAGCATTTTTTAGAGATTTTCTTTTGTAACTTTCTTCAGATTCAGAAGATCACATACATTTGTTCAGTAGGGATAAGTATTTTTGGTGGTTTCTTACCTTTTTCTCCATGTCGTCTTTCAGTTTTGCACAGGACGCCTCATGCTGGCCTTTCTCTGTTGTTGCAACATTTAACCTCCTCTTCAGGGATTCAATCAGCGCCTTCCTGTTGGAGGCTTCCTCCGAAAGCGTTTTCACCTGGACGGACAGAGAGAGCAGTTAAATGCACACAATCTAACTTTATACAGTATACAGTTCCCTGCAGAAGTATTCACCCTCCAAAGTTTACGTTTTTGTTATCTGAACTGGATTTTCTTTGCAAAGTTCAAATGTGAAGTGTGAGACACATTGGAACTCACCCCTCTTTACTTTGATACCCCTAAATAAAATTCACTACAGCCAATTCCCTGCAGATATCAGTTATTCAGTTATTGTTGATAAATAAAAAACTGACAGTATGATTTTTGTTACTTTCTCCACTATTTGTTCCATGACAGAATGAATAAATATGAGTAAATTCAAAAATATGATGATGTGCATTTACTGTGTGCAAGTCAATGATGTAGATCAAAACATTTTAAAGTTTATGGCATCCTGAAAAATCCCATGTGAAATGTTTTTCAAGAATAATATGTGTGTTTGTGGCACTGTGAATGCCACACACGAAGTAATAAACAGGATCTTAATCATAATCTTTATTGTTATCAGAGTACTAATACAAAAAGTCCATATCATCCACTCCTACATGTACCACTTTGATAAATGCCAAGTTTTCCAGCTCCCATCATCTTGGCAGCCATTTTAAAACAGAAGTTGTTTTTTTTCCGTCTGTGGTGTAAAAATAAAATAAATAAAAACCAACATCTAATCCATTGGTTCCATTTTTACTCAAACATTCAAGTTTCTTCTCGCTCCCTGCTGTTTGCTCCTCTAAGTTTTTGCCTGTTGCACAAAAACAGGTTCAGCACCACCAGTGGAACTGGAGCCAGATTTTGAGAACTGCTGCTTAGAATAAAAACACATCCATGCATTTAAATATCTCAGACATCCAGATTTAGATCCAAGGAAGAACTTGAAGAAAGACTTGGAAATTGCTCTTTTCAGAATTTCTCTCTGCAGTGTGATGGAGAATCAGCAAACATTTCAGTCCAAAGAGCTGCACAGCTGGCAGAGAAAACAAAAACCCTGCAGCTGTTTTTCTACTGAAGGTTTGTCTACAAACTGTTGACTCAGTGCAACAGCTTTCACTCTTTTTTATTATTTGTTGTAAAAGCAACAGCTGTAATGACAGCTAATGATGGTTGTTTGCCTCGGTGTTGCCATGGCGACAGGTCCAGGGTGTCCATTAGGGACACTAAGAATAAATTTAATTGAAAAACAAAAAAAGAGAGAGTCCTGGTTGTTACCTCGGCTCTGACACTAAGGATGCATTCACTGTTATAATGGCTCTAAATATGCAATCAAATGGTTTGAAAGTCTTTTGTGAAAAGAGTTCAACCGTGATGAGACAGAGACGTCTGCCCACCTTCTTGTCCAGGTCCTCCACTTGAGCCCGGTAACTTCTCTCCATGTCCTGCAGGACCTTTAGTCTGGTCTTCAGGTCCTCCACCAGCTGCCTTTTCATGGCCACGTCTCGCTCAGCGTGGCTCACCCTAAAAGAAGATGCAAAAACTTAACACAGAAATAACACAGAGAACGACACACACACACACACACACACACACACACACACACACACACACACACACACACACACAAGTAGAGCTGGCAGACGCGGCGTCCCAACGCGCTGCATCAGCCATGACAGCTCATTATGACAACTAAATACACTGGCATGCTGCTTGGATAAGTGGAGGGGCGTAAAACGGGGATGCATGTATAATTCTAGCTGGCATATATTAGAACAAATGCTCTGGCACCAAGCGCCGCTTTAAGTGTGACCGGGGAGTCCTTTTTGACAAACGGCGTCTCGAATCAGCCGCGACAGCAACGCGGCATTTTAATGTTTATCATTTTACAGCTCAGACACATAAATGCTTCAACAGGGAGGCTTTCTGCAGAGGAGGCCGCTTACAAGGGAGACTTCCCGTTTGTTTCAGAGGGATTTCCCATAAGACAGGGCTCTGCAGCCTGTACAGTCCAAACAGACGATTTAACCTTCAGTCCTGCTAAATAAAACCCGCTTAGAGCCGCTAACATCACCTGACCTTTTAAAATATGATAATTTAGAATTTTTAAAGGGGCAGTATTATGTAAAATCAACTTTTTTGAGATTTACATCATGTTTTGATGTTATTCCCTCATAAAAAAAACCTTAATTGCCTTAATTATTTCATGCATGTTTGAGAAATCCTCTAATCTCCATGGTAACCAGTCAGTTGTGCAAAACACCTGGTTGGACTTAGGCCCGCCTTCAGGGCACAGCTCCTCCTCCAAGCTGCAGTTTCCAAGCCCCAGAGAAGCCCTCCCACATTCAGCTCCTTCAGACTAGCCAGTACCAATTAGCAAACACCAGGTGGAGCAACTTTTAGTGAGGTTCTGTTGTGGAAATTCAATGCCATGCAACCTGGATGATTAATGGATCATCCAGGTTCCATTAAAAACTGGATGATTCTTTACCATGTTAACCAAAGTTATGAAGAGACGTTTTGAAAGGTCCAAAGAGCCACTTGTGGCTGTGGAGCCGCAAGTTGCAGAAAGGCAAACTGTGCCTTTACGTTGTAAACTGTTTACTCCTGAACTGTAGCAATCATGCAGCGCGTGTCACTTCCTGTGTCAACAATCTTCTCTATTTACATACTTAATATTCTTGAGTTCTTCTTTTAAGTGGTCTGAGTGTGTTAGCATGTTTTATTCTGTTTTCATAAAAGGCAGATATAAGGCATTTTCATGGTTGTCTAAACCTCAGGGAGCTGGAACAAATAGAATAAAGATCATAAGGATGCAGTTAATTAAGCGAATTTTTTTAATTTCAAAGATGTAGTGGCTTCTCTTCTCTTCTCACACACACACACACACACACACACACACACACACACACACACACACACACACACACACACACTCAGAGTGTTGTGTGTTTTAAATAAACAGATGACGCAACGATCCAGCAAATGCCTCCATGTGAGCAAATGTCCCCGTCTCTCTAGGAGGGTGGGCTGGTTAAATAAGTGTGAGCTTGTCCTATTGGAGTGACATTAAATTAAATGAGAGCCGAGTCTAGCCTGGGGACGTTTGGGGGGGGAGCAGCGCTGGCTGGTTACCCCATGGGTTTGGCCATTAATGAGAAAACCCATATTGAACCTTTCAGATGACTGTCTGCTGTTGACTTAAAGACGGAGAGCAGCAATAAGCGCCCCGGCAGCTCCCCCTGCCCCACTGCTAATGGCAATTAGACCCACAACATTTATTCTAGATGTTCTTTTTTTTCCTCCCACACCCCAAAAAGAATAGAGGATAAAAAAGAATGAGCGATACGCGGAACTTCTGCCGGATCGTATGATCTCTATTTATGAGCGTTAGTGGGAGCGAGAAGACGAGGAGCCTCCGACTGCATCGCGATCGCTTGCACGTTTGTTCCCTTTGTTCTGCGCTTGTTGCCGATATTGTTCATCAAACATGCGTGTATTGTAATAACAACAGTCAGCGGTGTGCGGAGCGTTAGCGAGGAGCGAGAGAGCACTTTTCTGTGTATGTTGTTAGGAGTGAAGACAGGGTGGATGTTTCATGTGGCTGATAGACAACAGGGCTAAAGATGAAAGCAGCAGCTTCATAAATAAGGCAGGGCCATAGTGCCGGATATTGACTGAGGACATGCCGGTGTACTTTGAAATTCATTTCTTTTTTTTTCCTTTTTTTTACCCCCCCCCTTCTTCTCTTCTTTAAGGCAAAGCAGCCTTGCTCCCCGTGCGTGTGCTGAGATGTATATTTCAGAGACGTCTAGACATGTCTTTCATTCTGAGAAGGAGTCCCTCCACGGAGGAGCGGCAGGCCGAAACTTACATCCAGAGTTGCGTTTGAGCGACAAAAAGATGAAGGAGAGGCAACGGATGTCGCGAGAAAACGGAGCTGTGATCCTTGGTGCTTTGGTCGCACGCAAACACGCGCCTGCGCCCGGCTCTGATCGCAAGCACAACCTGGATGTATTATTGAGAATGTCAGGCAGAGGACAGAGCACAGCGGACAAACACAACCAGAGGAAAGCCAAGTAGTTCTTTGTACCTTTCTGAAAGTGCAAATGCAAGACGTGGGTCAGATCTCAACAGTGAATCGTCTGCAGCGACGCATGCGGACTACGTAATGCAGTAAAAGCTGAACTGAGAGACTCGATAGGGGCTGCTGCCAGCCGCGTCTTTAGCTGCTTCCCACATTCGGCTCCATTAGCAGATCCTGCGCGGCTCATCTCTGTTTTCGTAAACATCGCAAAGGCAGTAAAGGCCATTTACTGAAAACAATCGATTAGATTGACAGCTGACTGGATTCATTGATTCACATGTGATTTACGTGAGAAGGCCGGACGTTACAAACTCCAAACAACAACATGGCAGCCAACGCATGGCGGACATGGCGTCTGCAATCAAACTGTAAAAACACAAAACCTTACCAAGTCTAATTTCTAATGCAAATATCTTAGTACACTTTAAATAAGATAAAACTAACTTAAAAGTAACTTGTTTTAAACCATTAGTTTTTCATAGTTTTTAAAAAGTAGTTATTATTAGTGGTACTTTATTATTTCACTTATAATGAGGCATTTTTCCCATGTTACAAGTGAAATAATCTTCCAGTGGAACTAGTTTTTGCAGTGCACAGAGCTGCTTGATGCCAGTTTAATCTTGAGCAGAGCCAGGAGGAAATGCGTCAATTGTTTTAGCAGAATGATCATGGTTTCTCAGGAATTTCACTGGAAAAAGCCAAGACCAAGATGTGCATATAACTTTTTCAATATTCCACTAATGCAAAAAAAAAAAAGCCACAATTTCGCAATTCTTGTGTTTCCATTAAATAAGAAATGAAATAAAAATCACACATGAATAAGTCGATTCATGCATTAAGTCATTAAAAATCCCGGTGGCAACAGATGAGATACGTTCATAATTCAGCCACGGCTCTAGCGTAGATCAGCCAGCAGACGAGACTTTGGCGTCTTATTCAGGCGTTGGAGCACGAAGCCTCTTACACTGAGCAGCGGCTACGTATGCAGTGTTTTGGGGAAATCAGTGATTTTACAGAAAAGCTGTGGATTCAACACTTTAGAATGGCAAACTCCATTTCTGATGCTGTCAGAGCTCTGGTGGAGCCTCCTGCACATTGTTTCAAAGAGGCCAGTGCCTACAAAGTGTGTTGCTGCTCTATGCAAACATGCCACAAATATTAACAGAAATGCAGCAAGCAGGATTTCCAAAGTTTGCTTTTACCAAATAAAATTAGAGTAGGGTAGTAACTCGTTACATTTACCTCTGTAATCTATTGGAAAAAAGTTACTTTTTACTGTTAATGAGTAACTTTCTTCTGACGTATCGCTACTCTTACTTCAGTAAAGCTCCTGGATTCTCTGCACTGTGAGTAAATTCACTGAATGAAGAACAAACTCGTTACACAAACCTGCAGTTTCTGCTAAGGTTTCATAAGTTTTATATCTTAAATTTAGGAAAATGTTTTCTTTGCATAGGTTTGTTGTGTTATTTATACAAAGTATTTTGAGAAAAAACTTCATATTCGTATTTAGATACTTCAGCAGCCTTTTTACCAAATACTTTATTCTTACTTGAGTAATTTCTTGAACAACATGTTTTTACTCCTAGCTGAGTAAAAACATGTTGAAGTCGTGCTGCTCGTCCTTCAGTAAAACCTTTCCCCAGCTCTGTGTGTGGTTTCTCTGTCCCGCCCCCATCATTTCTGTCCAATGGGAGCAATGATCGTCAGCTGTGTGGCTTTGTTTAAAAATTGAAGTCTAAAAAGCACATTGTGAAAGCAAACCTTACCAAGCAAAAAATATATAAAGTTTGCCTTTGATCCAGACTAAACAAGCGGATGAAGAGACTTTTCTGACCCTAAAACACTGAATAAACCGTTGTCACAGTGAAACCGGGTGGAGACACAGAAACTGGTCAGAGTCTAAATCATGCAAATTTCTCGTTCCACTTCACAACACAATGTGACACAAGTTTATAGCTTTAATGCAACAAAACAGAAAAAGTTTAAGTGGTACGACTCTTTGTGCGCTGTGTTATCTCTAGCTGCTCATATTAACATCCCACACTGTTTTCTTTGAGTTGCTGATGAAGCTGCAGCAGAGAGAAGATCGCCACATGGTGGAATCAAACACAGCAGATGAGAGCTGCACAGAATGCATTAAGACACACAGACAGAGGGATGGAGAGACAAAGAGGTGCAGGGGGGGAAAAAGGTGCATCACAGAGCTACAACAACAAACGGCCGGGATCACGAAGAGGACAAGCAGCACTAATTAAGACAAAGGTGTGTAACTAACTTGTCCTGCAGCTGGCTGAGCTTGTCCTCCTTCTCCTGGAGCTGTCCGCGCAGGGCTTTGTTAGCCGCCATCTGCTTTGTGGCTTCAGCGTTCGAGCTCTGGGGAGAGGGCACACGGTACGAGCGTTCGTTAATGTGTTTCAGCCCGGCTGATGGCGGGTCAAGCACAGCATGCCTTCTCATTATGGTAACAGTGGAAGGCAAGAAGGCGCTAAAAGAGGTTAAAGAGAATAATACATTTTATAAAGTGGAAAAAATAACCCACACCTTCAATACTGATAAAAAAAAGCATGTGTAAGGCATCTAAGGAGTATTAAAAAGCACTGAAAGAATAATTGGATTAATTGTGATAAATTGATTATTGAAATCAACTAATTTAGTGATTGATTAATCATTAACTGGAGAATAAAAAAGGCCAATTTGCTGAAACAACAACACACTCATCAAGAAAAAGACGTGCAAAATGTCGTAAATTTTACATTTAATATCAGAAAACGTTCGTTTGTAAATAAAAGTTTTACTCTGAACTTCTCAGGTGGCAGTTTTAGCTTCACCCACTTAAAAACTGCAAACAAATCTCCTTTTAAACATGCTTTGATATTCAATTATTAATCAGCTAATCCTATATCATACCTCGCTGTATGTCGAAGTATGTTCTTTAACTGCATCCTTTGCTGCAAATGAACAAGCATTTTTAGGCCATAAAAATAAAGTTTACAAAAAGGAATAGAATCATTTAATCATTTGCATATTTTAATGTATTTCTAATATTGTATAAAAAGGTTTAAACAAAAAATCTGCATAATTGGTCAAATTTCCATTGATTAATCGTCAGACTAATCAATAGATCCATCATCAGTTGTAGCCCTGGTGTTAAACACTTGTGCCTACGAAACAAAGGACGTCATGATGTCAGCTTATAAAAATGATGAACTCTTGGTTTGAAGGCCGCTGTCTGGGGGAAATGCTCCACTGCAAGCTGTTGTTAAACATGCGCCTCCGTCGCCTCCCTCTCTGTTAAGGTGTCACCTGGCATGACTTCCTGAGACGTGTGCACCGACAGCAGCAATCTGCTCGGTGACGCTGATGAGCGGGCTGCTGAGAGGGTGATAATGTCGCGGCGGCGCTCGCACCTCCTTCCCCGCCATGCAGGGCGCGTCGCCACTGTTACCCTCCATTTCTCATCTTTCTGACAGCTACTCTGAAATAAGATCAATTGGTATGAAATGCTAATTCATGTTGAAATCACATGCAATTTCAGGTGATGCAGTGTGTAAATTAAAAAGGCGGAAAACTTTGTGCTTTTTTTTCTTCTTGCATGATCTGAAAAGTAAAACCTTGACAGAGTTTCTTGCAGAAGCTTCAAGGACTTTGAGGCTTTCAGTGAAATGTTAAAGTGCCTCAGAAATTGATATTTGATGAAATCTGAGAGACTTTTTTTCCTCAACTAAAAATGCATGTTTAATCCTGGACTGCTGGGCTGTGGAACAGTGCTGCAGCTAAAATGGCCACAAGAATAGTAAAGAAAAACACATACTTTAACTAAGGATGTCAACGTTAACGCATGCGATTAATCTAAAAAGTTTAACACATTAACATGACATAAACCAGATGAATCACTTTTAGTCCACAGAAGCGATTTACACGATCATGTACAGCATTCAAAAACACCAGTTGGAGCGGACGCCCCGCACACAGAGGTTATTCGCCCAGACGCAGCCGTCACAGGTTTGAATCCCAGGTTTGGTTCCTTTACTGATAAAGGAACAAATAAAGTCAACTAGTGCCAAAAATTCTCTGAAAAAGAAACCAAAAAAAAAAAAAAAAAAAAAAACAAAACAAAAAAAATTGCGATGAAGGTTAGGAAAAAACCAAGGAACAATGAAGCCCGCT